TTGGTTGGTTGGTTGGTTGGTTGGTTGGTTGGTTGGTTGGTTGGTTGTTCTGTTTTTTGTCTGGGATATATTATATTATATAGATGATGTGGCTGGGGAGTTTAGTCGAAGAATTCGGCTCAAGAAGTGTGAAGACCGCCCATACAGCCATACAGGATCATCCAGGCCTGGCCATTCAAGAAGCAAATGGCCTGGCCCTGAGATAGGACGTGCTTTTTTCATGCTTTCTCACTGCCACGACTGTTCTATAGAGTCTTAGAGGTAGCTTGTTTGTGATTCGATTCGTTAACCCCATTCCTCCATGACCGGTAGGAGTACGGCCTCACTCACCAACGTGAAAGTTGAACAACCACCTGTTTGTAGAGGAAAGCATGTAGGCCTTAAGGTTCCAAGGAGAAGTCTGGTCGGAACCCGAGAGTCTTCTGGGTGGAAAGAAGACCTCCTGCTATGCACAGCCCGCACGGCCACAGGTTTGGGATCTCGGCGTTCATGGAAAAAGAACTCACTGGTCCATTGAACGTAACAGAATGTCTGCTCCTCGACTCTACCGTCTTAGTTTCGCCCGATGTCTGCCCCTGGAATCATATGTTTGGAAGTCGGTAGGATGGATCCACCCTTCTTCCACACCAAATCACCGATCCACTCCTGCCTCCTCTCCCTCTTCTGCTTTGCTTTCCAGGAGCAAGGACTCACCTTGTCTCTGTCGAGATTCATCGACGGCCGACAGTGGTAGAAGCCATGGATGTTTCATAGGTTGGTTTGTGGTTGGCTTCCGGGATTCTTCTTGGTTGACATACTTCACATCTGGCCAAAACTGGGCCCAAACATGCCCAAACCATACAAAACCCTGCTTGACCCCGGAAAGCTATGAAGAGCTTCCTCTGGGATGAGATCAACCTTCCATGGTTTGTAGGGTGAACCTCTGGGATGGGGGCCGGCCTTGTTCTGGTCGGATGGGTGATCGAAGCAAGGTCAGCACTTTGGACGAGGAATCGCGAGGAATTCTGAGAACCTGGTGTCACTCTCATGTGAAGAAGCGAGGATCCAGGGGGAGTCTCCATTGTTTGAATGTAAAAAAATGCATGTGCTGTAATTACATGCATGGTCATGGTTTTACTGGTCGTTTACATGTTTTACTTTTTCAACGTGTTCTTCACATACTTTTGAAATTGCGCCCATGTGCTTTTTTCCTGAATGTATGCCATTGATATACAAGCAAATCTGGGTTCTGAAGGGAACCTCTGGAAGACGGCCAAGCCTGACCGGTCATTAACACCATGGCTCCACGTTTTGACCCATCCCCACATAAAGGGAGTCTCTAATCATCCTTGTCACAGCAGACGCAGCTGTTCCAAACATCCTTGGCAAAATTGCTGGTGTCCCCGACTTCGTGTACGCGTACCCCAAACATGTCCAGCGATCACATCATCGCTACCAGCACCAAGTCTTTCTGCCTATCTGCCTCTCAAGCCACCTCCACCCAGGACAGGCACTGCACGGGACTCCCGCTCCGGCTCCACCTGCGCTCAACGCTCTACGCTCACAGGTCGACCCCGGTCCGACCCGACTGGGACGGCGGTCCGAGACGTCCCGGGGGCGTCGAAGTGGGCGGCTTGGGAGGACTCCGATTTCGGCAGGACCCTGCCTGTCTTCATGGCACCGAAATAAAAGACGTGCGGGAACTGCACGTGGATGTGCTTGTATGTTGTGGTTGGAAAGGGACTGCAGGGCTGTGACTCCTCTCCCTTCTCTTTTTCGGTGAGGCTTTCGCTTGGTGTCCTTTTTACATCCTGGTTCAGTGCGTTGAGATCGTCGCTCAAGATTGGCCGACCTCCCAGCAGCACCCACCCAAACCAGTTCGTCAGGGAATAGAGGACCTCAGTCCTTCGAGTGGGTGAGGAATTGGATCATTTGGAGTCCTGAGAAGTCCTGACTAGTCGTCAGAGTCCCAATAGATCCACTCACCCCGTGCTTTATCCATTTGGACTCTTTTCTCCCAAACACAACGATCCAACAAAGACACTTTGTGTTTGATCCTTGGAATCCTTGGTCCTGAGTAAAACCCTGGTTGACCTGGTTTTGCAGAGTAAAAATATCCTTAGTAAAACACATGTGTCTTCCGGATTCAGCCTATTAAGTAAATTAGATTATATAAATTAGGAATGAGCTATGGTGGGCCAGGAACCCTATAGGCTATATAGGGATTTCAGCATGTTTTAGCTAAGGTGTGGACACTTTGGACCCTGAAACACCACCTTTCTCAACTCTGTCCCTTCCAAACATCTGTCGTTTTCCCTGTGAATCCACCGATTTCGCACGCCCTCGTCTCCACCTCCATCGCGGGCGTCGGTGTCTTCGGTGTCTCCGCCGGCTTCTCCGGCTCGGCGCGGTCGTCCCGCGGGTCGTCCTAACCGATGAGGCGACCAAAAGAGAACAAGCAGTACACCCAGCAACCCCAAACAGGCGGAAGCTTCTATAAAGAGTGTGTGAAAAAATGAAGACAACCCACCCAAAATACTGGATCAACCAGCGTTGACATGAGCTCATCATTTTGGAGACGTTTCATTGGACCTGAAGATGTTGAGGATGCACATATACAGCAACAGCTGTTCATCCTGTAGGTCTTCCTTCCAAGTGATCCTTGTCTTGGCACTGTTTCGTGTTGATATAAGTGGAGCCTCCCATGAAACCCAGCGGATCCACCTCTGAAAAAAAAGAGAAACATTCACGAACACCTGGTGTCACTGGGCCGCGTCCGTCCCAGTGGGAGACCCATCACCGACGAGCCACCGATCCTCGACGGGACCCGGAGGCTTCGGAGATCGGGAGCCGGTCGGTTCGAAGACCGCGAGAGACAGGTGGGTCGTGAGAACAAGCTCGGACCCTGTCCTTGGGTCCATGTACTATCATGGTCCTTGGGTATATAAGGGTCCTTGGTGAAGATGGGTCTGTAGACATCTTGAGACCTGTATACTTCAATTTGTCTCCTGTTTGTCTTCTATGTAGAAAGGGCGGGGCCACTTGGTAATTCGCGGTGATTGCCATTAGATGCACGTGGTGTCAAATGCTTGAAATTAAATCTGTGACGGGTTTGTTGGCCAAGGTGACTTCTGCACAGTTCTGTGCCACAATCCCACCAAGGGTTCTCAACGGGAATCCTACTTCTTTGCGGGGTCTCCAAACCAAGTTGTTGGGGTGTAGAGCCACCCAACCATGCTGTTGCGAGCGCCGGATTCGGCTCCAACCCTGCAGTGCTTCCGGTGACGAAAAGTGCCGCTGCAGTGCTTGGTTTGGTGATCTGATGCCTCAAAAGACGGAGTAATTTGTAGGGTGTTCCTGGCAAGGCCCATACCAATCATACCATCTGCATAACGTATACTCTTATAAGCCCTTATAATAGGACCCTTTTCCACTTGTGTTGAACAATGTTGAACAACCGAAATTGCAGGATTTCCAAATAGGAACATGCCTGTCACTTGGGTGTATTACCAGGGCCCAGGCCAGTGATGATCATGGTTAGGTGGCAGGCCTGTCTCAGAGCTATTCTGGTTTACTGGAACACACCCTACTCTCACACCCATGCGTGTGCCTGGCCAGTAGGGAGACCTCCCAGGCGTTCCGGCCCCGTTTTCAGACCAGTCTCATTAGGACCAGCGGGTCTCCCTATAAAAGGCCCATATACCAGCACCCGACTCTACAGGTCTCCGAAATGGAGGGTTGGGAAGGGCCCTAAGAAATCTCTGCTGACCTGTTGGAAGGTCCTGGTACAATTTGTCATGTAGTCTTTGAGTCTTGTGGGCCACCAAAAAGGACCACAAACATCGATCCATTTCACACCGAGTACGTCTTAGCCTCTGTAGACCCCATGTAGACCCCATGTAGATGGGAAAACCCGCGTCTGTCTGCCGCTCCCCCCGACCCTGTGCACGGACTGGACCTCTGGACGAAGGTCGGCAGCTTTGGCCGCTCCTGAGAGGGGAGTCTCTCTCGGCACAACAGCGAAGGACGTTCCTCCATTCCAAAAAACCCAGCTGGGTGTAGCAATTTTTGATATATCTTGGTGGCCACGTCGTGGGTCTGATGGCCTCCTGGTCTGATGGTCTCCTGATAAGCTGGGTGTAGCCTCCAATGTTAGCACTTTGGTGGCCAAATCTTACACGTCGTGGGTCTGGTGTAGCAATATTACGGCCTACTCAACCTTTGCCATAATATCTCGTCGCTGCGTTTCACGCCACATGACCGGCTCTGAACCCGGTCGTAAAGACCCGACGGTCCATCGTCTTTGGCCCAAAAACGTCACAAGACCCAAACCACTCAGATGCGACTGGCATACTTGCCTACTAAACGGATCTAAACGGGGTGGTTGAAATGGGGGTCGAGTCAATGGGCGGACTTGTCCGGTCCCATGGGTCGTGTCTGGCGCTTCAGCAGAGCTGCCAGAACAGGCTGCTTCCACCAGTCGCGTGGCGGGGCCGAACGCATGGGGGGGGTGCCGTCCGATACCAAGAGGACGCCATGAAACATCTCGCTCCAGGCAGCGAAGCGCTTCGCAGAAGTGGACCAATCCGCCGAGAAACCCCAAGTCCGACCCAGGATGTCCGGGCCGTTAACCCATGGTATGGGCGCTCCCAGCCCTCCACCCCTCTGACGGTGTAAATCCTGCACCGAGGTGCAAGTTTGGGACCACCGAAGGATCAGAATGCAGGTTCGCCCACTAGGTTCGCCGAACGCTGCAGTTTCGAGTTCTGGTGATTGAACATATACCCACCCCAAAAAAAGGAAAAACATGGGGACTCTTTGCGGTGCGACCTGGAAAGCCGATTCAACACATGTTAATATACTTTACACCGCATGTGTGCCGTCCATCGCAGACATCTTTGCTCACCACTCCTGGTCCTGTCCCAACACCACGGCCACCTCCTGGTCGGTTTCGGGAACACCGAGGAGTCGCCTCCCTCCACCATGCGAGGACCAACCCCCCCCCCCCACCCCGGGTCCTGACTTTGGGGCATTTTCCTGCCGGAAGTCGAGCGACCATGTCTAGACTAGACACGACCCTGGAGCCGAATCCCTTGGAGGGGTGTGGACCAAGGGCTGTTTGGGCTGTTTGGAAGCAGACCCTGGGCAGCAGAACAGTATAGAACAGTGTCAAGGACAGCAGAGCGCAGAGCTCGCGGAGCAGGACATGCCGCTTCTTTCGGGTGGTTCTTCTACGCTGATCGGTTCTTGGGCGGCTGGAAGACACCTGTTCCAGCACCCGAAGTGAGTGGGCGACATGAGAAGAGCCCCACCCTGTCGAATCGCATCCGAACGAAACATGCTTGCCACGAGGTAGCCACGATCCTCTGCACAGGGTGCCCAACTGGTCTCGTGAGGTGGCAGCCACGATGTATAGCCAGGTGATGCATTAGGGCATTGGGCCACACACATGACGAAGCTTAATCGATCTTAATCGCGAGTTGGCTGGATCTGCCGAACTCTACGCTGAGTGAATATACAGGGGGCGGCTCTCAGGCTTCCTCTCCGGCAGAATCGATTGGGGATACCAATCCACATGCGGACCCGTTTGCACCTCTCCGAGGTCTGAGAAGTCTGAGAAGGGGAATTCCACTCCCCACGGCTTCAACCACGCGAAAGGCTCGGCCCAACTCCACCCAAAGGGGCTTGGCCCGAGGGGCGGGATTCCTGGTGGATCGAACGGTGCCTTTTGCACGAACCAATACTCCTCACACCCGACGTCCCGACTGAAAACAAATCACGCATGTGTTGCCTGGTGCAGATGTGGTCATCTTTTCAATCCTTAAAATCCTTAAAAAGAATCAAACCACAATAGGAAGCATTCCTGGACCTGCACCTATTGGATCTCCGGCCTGGAGAGTCCCATTCTCAGAAGGTCCGAGTGAGACTATACAGACCCCCAAAACAAGCATCACCAATGCTTTTTCATCTGGCTGTTGAGAAGAACCATCCCGAAAATTATGGATGGTGTCAAACATGTTGCTGGTTTGGTGAGTTCAGCAGAGGAAAGACCTGTCAAACACAGTTGGTCTCTATAGGTAGAACTAATCCAGCAGAGAGGTCTGTTCCAACACATTGGTGCCAAACAGAGCCCCCCAAAACGTGTCCCAAAAGCATCCTGGACCAAAAAATGATTGAACTGTCAACACATACACTATATGGCCTTGGTTTTTTAATCAAGAAACCTCGCAACACCTCTTCCACCGCAGTCCGTGGTCATCACGTGTCCCTGTCGGTCGACCGGGGCGATCCGATGACCGGCGGCGCCTTCGGCTCGGAGGGCTCGAAGGGCACCGGACCACGGGCTGCAGCCTTCTCCCTGGGGCTGTCGACCGATCGATGTCCCGGTGTCCCAAACGGAGCGCAGTCGATCGGACGGGAGATACGCAGAGACTCCATGGGACTGCCAGGACGGACTGCCGAGAAACGGCCAGGGGTGCGAGGGGGGTCAATGGGGCGGCGTATATGATAACATACATGGAGTGTCTGGGGTATACAAGCCAAGTGATTTCGGTGATGCGAGAAAACACGAACCTGTAGATGTTTGTAGGCTCAAAGCACCCTCCAATCCTCCAACAGTTCTTTTTGATTTGCAGACATAAAGTTTCAGACTAGAATAATTACTTGAATACCCGCTGTGCGGTCCAGGTACAGATTTGATCATCATAGTAGAACTGGGATGAAGTGCGTACAGTTTTGTTCAGTCCGCCTTGGCCATCCTACCAGGAAGTCCGAAAATACAGTGCTGCTCCGAGCGATTTTTGGGGAACCTCCTTGTTGATGCTTGTCATCGGATGGGGAGGAGGAGCCCAGGAAGGAGACCAGGAAGTAGCCGAGAGGGTTGCTCCAGGCTTTCCACAGATATCCAACACACTGGTGGGAAACTTCCTGTCTTTGAGTGTCCAATCTGATGTTCCAAAGACCCTGGCATGCAGCAAGTTTTTTGGACAAATCCTATGATTTCCCTCGTCAACAAATTCAAGAAGTGCTTTACCTACAACAAATTGCTGGAGGCTAAGAAAGGAAGTGCGACTAGCAACCAAAAAGGTGGGATGACTTGACAAAGCCTTGAACGGTTGGCCTTCCCCAAAGAAACGTGCAAGAGATATCGCCCTGTTCAATCGTCTTCTGCAACATTCTGCCAACATGGAGGAACCCCGCAACCAATAATGGTCTTTGGTTTCTCTGATGTTCTTTGTCACCCACATCTCCATCTCCACGATCCAAATCGTGACTCAATTGGGCCGGATCTTCTTCAGACCATGTGAAGCACCCTGCAATTCAAATGACCTCATCTCCATCTGACTCCCTCACTTTCCCTGGAACATCAAGGTGAACCTTTTCTCCACCTGTTCTTGTTTAGTTGGGGAAACTGATCCTCGGAAAAAAAGGGTGTTGCAGGCGATCCACCCAGACTCCTGGGCAGGACCACGCGAACGCGAGACGTTCGACCTCCACCCCGCCGTTCGCGGGCGATCCGCGCCTCCGCTTGCTTTCGGCCTGCGATCGGAGCGCCGCGGATCGGATCGCAGCTGGGCGCCCAAGCCGAATCCTCTGGAGGGGTCTGGACCCTGGACCAATCCCGGTTTGGAGGGACCAGGAGGGCTGTGAACGGAGCGGGTCTGGGTGAATTCCAAGGGGGTCACCTCCCTGACAGCACAGAGCTCTTAGTTGACAACTGTGAGGTGATAGGCAAAGTCACTGCCCATGTCACTGCCCGTCATCCGACCGTTTGCCTCGGTGCGAAATGGTTTGGGTCGAACCTCTCTGCGCGCGAATCCGACCCATCGGAGCGAAAACCAGCGGGCAATCTGGAGGGATGTCCAATGAGTGGAGATCGAAGAGTTGTTAGACCCAAATCCTCAGGTTCGGTTCCAACTCATATTCCCCTAGGGTTCCAACTACTATATGGCCTATTCCCCTAGGGTTCCAACCCATATCCTCAGGTTCGGTTGTTAGACCCCCTGGCACCCAGCCCTGGCCCACCGAACCGAAACGTAGATAGGCCAGGAGGTCTAATTAGGGATTCCTCAACAATCCTTGGATGGAATATGTTGCATCTTAAAACATCTTAAAACCACCCCAACTGAGTTCGGCAAATACTCCAGTCCCCTGGACTCTCTGGGCGGTTTGACTGGAGGACTAGAAGCGAGGAAGTCAGCGATCCCGCTCAGGAAGCTTAAGAATCTGACCTGGTCAGAAATCCAAACTTTACTAACCTGACCAACCTGCTGTGAACGACCCGTTGGAGACGGGAGGCGCAGGTCAGAACGCGCCTTGGCCTTGCCTCTGGGATTCTCCTGGCGAGATGGCGAGGATGGCGTGTGGTCCAACATTGAGAATGGCGTTAGGATGGCGTTAGGATGGCGTTAGGATGTCAAGGATGGCGTGTGGAACCGTGTGGAACATCTTAACCTTTTGTTTGAACACATGGATGAAGCCTGCCAGTTGGGATGGAAGATGAGGCAGGATTGTAGATGTTCTGTTCCAGGGATGGTCAATTCCAGTTTCTATGTCAGAGTTCTTCAGAGTGTAGCCGTGTAGCTCTCCTATCCTTCCGGCTCTCGTCCTTCTGAATGGTCATGGCGCATGGCACATCAACTCTTGGGGCTCTCTGAGACGAGAATCAAGAATACTGTTGCAGAAGGATGTGGGCACATCAATGAGTGCTGGACACTTGCGAGGTGTGGACGAAACTCTCCGTCAGCAAAGGTAGATGAACCTCATCCGACATCCACGAAGTGAAGAAGACGATGGGAAAGACGTCTCATCAGAAACTAACAACGCCTACCAGCACCCTCCAACAGGCTGTGAGTTGAGGGTTGTTGGACCCTAACAGGTCTCTATTGGTGACCTGTCGGAGGGTCCTGGTAGAATCTGATCAGAATCCATCTGCCCAAGTAATTCAGCAACAGTAAGCTGGAATTGAATAGATTTCTGTTGCTTGGCGAGTCTCCTCATTTCTGGTGATCATGAGACCAAAGGTAGTCCAGACATGACTGTGCTCAGTGGTACAGGTAATATGACAGGGATGGTCACAATTGGCAATGGAGGAGGGTCAACTTACTCATTTGGCACCAGGAATCATCAGCAGAGAAGGCCCTACCCCGCGATTATATAGACCGCCTATAGAAAAGTAGATCCCCACTAAGAACGCATTGGAAACCGTTTCTATTATCATCTTTGATATTATGTGATTCTATTTGGAACCAGTATTCTTTCTGAATATGACATTCAACAAGACCATCCTGTTGGAGAACCCACCTTTTTAGACAACCAGTGACCGCTGAACCTCAACCCAGTCGTGATTCAACTAACCTCAAACCACGGCACAAAACAGGGTGCGTGGGGTGCCCTCCTGACTTCAAAGCGTTGGATCCTCGGTGTTCTTCCGCTTTTCAACGCCAGACTTGAGAGTCACCAAAATTTCTGGTCAAATTGCATTTTGGTTCTCAAAGGAATGCATCATGGTGAGTTGACCCTGGCGTGAGTGCATGTCCATCTCCACCCGATTTGCTAAACCAGCGAGAACAAAAGCTTGCTAACCACTTCCTTTCCTCACTTTCTTCGTTGACTTACAATTCCCGGCTCCCCAAAACCCAAACACCTTGTACCACCCTCGTCATCGCCGATGCGGTGGCTTCCACCCCGCTCCTGCGGCTGCCGGGGCACCAGCTCCAGCAGCTGCTCGGCCGCAGCTCCTCGCAGATGCCGAGCACGGCAGCCTTGGCATCGGGCGCTACGAGATGGAAGCCGCCGCTCGTGGTGCGCAGTGTGGTGAGTTCTCCGCGGTTTTGGGGGCGGGCGGGGGGGCGGGGGTGGTAGAACCAGTTGTTTCGGTGCGAAGTCTGGCAGAGTCCTTGATTCTGCAATCTTCGGTTTTTCATGGCCAAAAAACCTTTTGGAGGGTAAACAACTCCCAGAGGCTCCAAGGAGTCCCTTTTTTCGAGTTATCGTGGCCCACCATTGATTTAATAACTTATTGGGTTTTACCAAACAACCACATTGTTGGACTAAGGATCTTACACTACAACGCCAGGTCAAGCTCACTCTCTCACTCTCTCTCTCTCTCTCTTTCTTTTGGAGACACGGAGTAGACTACAACGCGAGGCCTTCCTGGGGCGGTCTCCTCCCAAAACAGCGAATCAAAAAATAAGGAAACTGGTTCTTCCCCCCAATTGCTGCGAAAACAAAGCTGATGAACAACTCCTGCCCTCCCCCCCGAAAGCAAAAAAGACTGCATGCCTTGAGACTCCCAACTCACTAGAAAGTGTGGCGAATACTTCTGAGCCTCCAGGACCTGCGATACTTCGCCAGCTGAAGTGAGAACATGTGAGAACATGTGAGAACATTGAAACCTTCTCTCAACCACTCAGTGGCCAGCTTACTTATTGTCCAAAATGCCGCACGTATTTTGGGGTTAGTCCTGCATCTATCGGTGTCCAACGTGGTTTTGGAATGGGCTGGGTGGGCCCTTCCCACTGGTGCAAGGCGTCGATTCAGAAGTACTTGAGGCAGCTCATCGCGGTTTTCCGGGATGCATGAAGGAAAGTGTCGGGATGCTCATCCGCTCGTTGTAGATCTTCAACACGACACAGCCCCTGAATTACATGTTTTTGAACAATACAAATACCCTGCCGAAAGCTTTAGAAAGGAGGCGATTGGAAACCCGAAAACTTCCAAGAAATCCCGAGGATACCGGAGGTATTGCAATTCTGCTGTGGGCAGGGCAGGATCTGGTGTAAGTATTGATGATACTATTGCACATGGTCCAAAGATGTCAACTCCTCAAAAGACCTATAGGCTTTGAGACCCTTTGGTGTGGCACAGCTTGAGGAACGGGTTCGGCCAGAAACTGGAGGTTTCACCGGTGGGTTTCTGGAGTCGTTGGCACAGCTTTGGCGGTTGTCCAAACGTGGGTTTGGCGGTTTGGCGGTCGAAGCCCCACCCCCACAACCAGCCCAAACCCTTAGTATGTGCGCATTTGATACGTTGAGGCGGTGTGGTCAATGAGTTCTCCATTTCATGTTCGGGGGCGTGGCGGAAGCCGCAGCATGCGGCAGCGGATGGAACCCTCATAGATACTCCTTGTTTTGAGCATCCAATCTTCAAGGAAGACTTCGAGGTCCAGGGAGCCCGAGGGTCTTCTGGGTGTGATGCCTCCAGTCTGGTCTAGGCGGAAACCGGTCTTCTGTGGGTTTGGTCGCTCAGGATAAAAAAACTTGGTACAATATATGAGATCAGAAGCAATGCCCAAATCTACAAAGCAACAAACATCTACAAAACATCCTCAAACAACCACCCCCAAAAAACAACATACACACAAAACAGCAGCTCGGAGGCCCATCTTCACCCTTCTTTCAACCCACTGTTTCACGCCAAAACCACCTGCTCACCTCCCAAAAACCGTCGCCCACCCCCTGCCGTGGCCGGGAAGAAGGGCTCGTAGCCGAGCCCTTTCCGGCACGGTTTCGCGGTTGCAAACAAACGTGCGGTCCAGTCCTCGTGCTTGGGACAGGAAGGTGTTCCAACGTGCTTCGAATCGAAACAAACACGTCACGATTTTGGTGCACAGGAATGGCCCAAGAGAACCCCGCCCCCCCCCGCCCAGTCTGGAGCCACCAAAAGCTGTGAGTCGGGTTGTTTCAGGGGATCTCTACCGTTCATGGCGTCCTGCCGAGAGTCTGCTGAAGGCTGTCTCTCGTGTGTCGACACAATGATGGGGTGTCTCGAACGGACCGGGGAGGTCTCGAAGGGGTCCACGCAGCGAGACGCGAGTTGTTGGTTCTTCTTGTTCCTTTTTTAGACGCACCCCTTCCATCAACCCTATAGGGATCCAAGTCCTACCTTCTCAGGTACGGTGAAGAAGGAGACACTGGAGACTTGGACCTTGGGAGAAGGTACTTGGACCTTGAGGGACTCATTGTACCGGGGAGTTCTTTGGCAAAACAAAGGGGAAAACCCAATGGTTGAACTTTGAGGGTCCAAACAGGAATGCTTCCGAACAGTGAGAGCCACCTCTCAACTGATAGGGGATGGTATCCAGTGCTCCCCACTTGTCAAAGACCCTAGCTTGGAATAGTTTAATATATGTTGACCCCCTTTAAGTTAGCTTCAAGGGTTGATTCTGGTAACTGGTTGAGTTGATGGAATCTTTTTTTCAATGACTCTACATCTTCATATCAAAAACATATCAACACAAGACAGAAGCGCCCACACAGCACAAGCAATCTGACTCATCTGATTAACTCTGTTTATCACCCAATCTCGGCACCGTCTGTAGACCCGTACAAAGTCTCATTTCGATCAAAAACAGCCTCTTCGCCGGTTGAGCGCCCACGGTTGACTCATGGCATCGCTGGCCAAGCACATCGGTGGGCGGCTTAGAACAGAGCAAATCGTGACCAGGTTGACTCCATAATTTTACTCTTAACTAACCTGGTTTCTCCATGTTTCTCTCCATGGTCTCTCGGAACTCTGAACAGTTTAGCCTTCCCTTCCAAAGAGAACACGCCCAACTCCCCCAACCGGTGATTCCTCCCTCCACGGCCCCCCGCCCCAAACGCCCGCCCCAAACACCACGCCCCAAACACCACAAACACCACGCCAAACCCACCTGACTTCTCGCGCTTCTTGTCACCTCGCTGGGTCGATCGACGGTTCGGGACTCGGTCAAGGAGCTCGCGCCGTTGATAAACGCCGTTTCGGACCGTGGGTTCCGGACCTGTTGCTGTTGCGGTTGGACATGTGACAAGGGGATCTGGTTGTGTTGGCTTATATAACATTGTAGTTGTCTGGCTCTGACATTGGTGGTCAACATGGATCTATAGCCCAACACACGATGCCCAAAAACCGAAGCGAGTTGAAGCCTCGTAGATTGAGCCCTGAATCACCATGTCCCACATGACATCTCTAGATGTTCCTCCGTGAGAAACCATCACCGACTCACCGGTGGAATGGCACACAGTCAGAAAGGCGCAGCTCCGGGTGCCGGTCCCAGGTGCCTGGAAACGTTCCCAGGTGCCTGGACATACTACTGCATCATATCCTCATCTACCTGGACCATCCTGGACCGGGGTGTCCTGGCTGGAGATCCTGCTATCCGGGATCGAACATGCCAGGACACCCCGGTCCAGGATGCTCCTGGTACATCCTGGTACAGTATCTGTTTCCATAGTATTATAGACGTATTCAATGTCCCAGGTATTGATTTCCAGGGTCTTTGGAAAGGGCATTCCATGATGATTGCATCTCACCGCACCCTGATTTCATCAGTACAGTGAGTTCACCACCTGCACTCCCCCCCGCCTCTTCGGAACCAACCGGAGGACCCATCGGGGTGCTCTCGCCGATCCATCGAGGGATTTCAGGGATCCGGTGGGTTCGAAGTCCTGTCAGACCACCTCCGGAATCCCTTTCGCTCTCCTTGAAGTCGGGAGGCCCAACCTCTTGCCACACATGGAGGTCCCCAAAAAGGTCCACAACAAAATGGTGTAGTCCCCTTCTCTATCATGCTCCAAAAAAGTTAAAGGTTCCTAACCGACTGGCTGGGCTTTTGGTTTGGGCAGAACATCGCCCGTCCGAATCGGCTTTGCCACATCACCGAACATCGCATCAAGTCAAAGCCGCTGAATCACACCTGCTGCGTGTTCCTAATCCAAAGATCTCTCCAAAGATATATTTTTGGCGCCTCTTCCCTTTTGGGTCACCTAAAGACGATGTTTGAAGATTAAGACTAGTTTGATCTCCAAGGTGCATCCCCCTAGACCTCCAGTCGTACCATGGTATGCGGTACGGTATGATTGGACCCGACACTGGCACCCACCCCGGTCCCACCTTCTGAAGTATTTGGTGCCCTAGGGTACATGATCCTCCACGATCATCGTTCCTTCCCAGCCGTCCCAGCCGCTCCACCCCGGTCCACCTGAGGAAGCGCCAGGCATTCCGGAACCTTTGCCTGCGAGCAGGAAGGTGAAACACTCTGCGCAAGGATTGGCTAACAGGCTAACAGGAAGTCTCGAGTAAAACCAGTGCAAAACGAACAAACCGTAAATTCATTCCCCAGACACGAAAGCAAGAAACAGCACATCTTCCCAGTAAGCTCCCACCATCCGTGCCAAGTACCGACACCCTCTCCGGTGGCCTCCCTCGGCGACACTCGACGTGGCCAAGTACCTCCACCCGGAGGTGCTGGTACGACAAACGAGGTACGTGGCAACCTGTATACAAGGGCCCCAAATCCTAGAGGTAGAGCTTCCCCACCGAATTCAGCCATGTCAGACGACTAAGAAGAAGTAGTTACATGTCTCGAAAAGAAAGAAGCCGTTCGGACGGACGTTTGCCCCACATCCGGACGTCAGAGGCTCAGAGTTGGTGTGGAATCTCCGGAGGGATGTTCCGGAGTCCAAGACATCCAGACCCAATACTCATCCGACCCAAGCCATACCTAGACCATCAATACCCTGAGTGTCGGAGATCCCTAACTGGTGTAGGGCAGTCCATCGAACATCCATTGGATGGTCATGGTACCCATCCTATCTCTCAAACTTTACAACTTAGATCAACTTAGTATTGCAGGTGGCTCACATGGCACACATGATCAATCTGAAGCGTGAGCTTTCATCACCAACAACGTCCGTAGTCAAACCAGAGACCAGGGGAACTTAATCGACATGCCATGCCAGGCAGAATGAGGCCATGAAGGCCATCAGACAAAGTGTCGGAACATGTTTCCTCCTCATGGTCGATTGACCATCGGAGAGCTGGGATTAGGTCTTGTCATCATGGCAGGCCAAAAATCATAGCATGCCAAAAGCTCAGCCCACTACTCTTAGACAAGTCTACTCTACACTGCTGTTTTCGGAAGAGGTGTAGCATGTCTTGTTGTGTTATCCTTGCGGCAAGCAAATAAACTGATTTCGCATCATGAATGTACTTAAAGCTGCTATGTAAAGCCAACAAAGTCATCAAACAAAATGTCGGAACATGTTGCCAACAACTGTCTGTAGTCAATCCAGAGCGTGTGGGACATGCCAAGCAAAAAGGAGCAATCAGACAAAGTGTCGGAAC